TTAAGTATCAGCCTTATTTCACAAAATGGGGGGACAGCGCAAAGAAGTGAAGTGACTGCCCCCAAGGCCATGAAGGAGTATCTGTGCAGACGCAGGAACCGAAATCAGGTCCAACTCCCAGGCACTCTTCCTCCCAAAAGCAAGATTTACCAAGTTCTCTCTTAGCATTCATATTCACTGTAAATAACTCTCATCATATTACCTGCGGTCATTAAAGACCCTATGGCCCTATTCTTAAGAGGCCATGGATACGTCACACTGGTAGGATTTGGAAAAAAGAAAAGGAGTACTTGTGGCACCTTAGAGACTAACCAATTTATTTGAGCATGAGCTTTCGTGAGCTACAGCTCACTTCATCGGATGCATACCGTGGAAACTGCAGCAGACTTTATATACACACAGAGATCATGAAACAATACCTCCTCCCACCCCACTGTCCTGGTAATAGCTTATCTAAAGTGATCATCAAGTTGGGCCATTTCCAGCACAAATCCAGGTTCTCACCCTCCGCCCCCCCCCACAAACTCACTCTTCTGCTGGTAATAGCCCATCCAAAGTGACCACTCTCCCTACAATGTGCATGATAATCAAGGTGGGCCATTTCCAGCATAAATCCAGGTTTTCTGGGGGTGAGAAACGCATTCCAGTGTTTCACCACCGTCCTAGTGAAAAAGTTTTTCCTAATATCCAACCTAAACCTCCCCCACTGCAACTTGAGACCATTACTCCTTGTCCCGTCCTCTTCCACCACTGAGAATAGTCTAGAACCATCCTCTCTGGAACCACCTCTCAGGTAGTTGAAAGCAGCTATCAAATCCCCCCTCATTCTTCTCTTCTGCAGACTAAACAATCCCAGTTCCCTCAGCCTCTCCTCATAACTCATGTGTTCTAGACCCCTAATCATTTTTGTTGCCCTTCGCTGGACTCTCTCCAATTTATCCACATCCTTCTTGTAGTGTGGGGCCCAAAACTGGACACAGTACTCCAGATGAGGCCTCACCAACGTCGAATAGAGGGGAACGATCACGTCCCTCGATCTGCTGGCTGTGCCCCTACTTATACATCCCAAAATGCCATTGGCCTTCTTGGCAACAAGGGCACACTGCTGACTCATATCCAGCTTCTCGTCCACTGTCACCCCTAGGTCCTTTTCCGCAGAACTGCTGCCTAGCCATTCGGTCCCTAGTCTGTAGCTGTGCATTAGGTTCTTCCGTCCTAAGTGCAGGACCCTGCACTTATCCTTATTGAACCTCATCAGATTTCTTTTGGCCCAATCCTCCAATTTGTCTAGGTCCCTCTGTATCCTATCCCTGCCCTCCAGCGTATCTACCACTCCTCCCAATTTAGTATCATCCGCAAATTTGCTGAGAGTGCAATCCACACCATCCTCCAGATCATTTATGAAGATATTGAACAAAACCGGTCCCAGGACTGACCCCTGGGGCACTCCACTTGACACCGGCTGCCAACTAGACATGGAGCCATTGATCACTACCCGTTGAGCCCGACAATCTAGCCAACTTTCTACCCACCTTATAGTGCATTCATCCAGCCCATACTTCCTTAACTTGCTGACAAGAATACTGTGGGAGACCGTGTCAAAAGCTTTGCTAAATTCAAGAAACAATACATCCACTGCTTTCCCTTCATCCACAGAACCAGTAATCTCATCATAGAAGGCGATTAGATTAGTCAGGCATGACCTTCCCTTGGTGAATCCATGCTGACTGTTCCTGATCACTTTCCTCTCATGTAAGTGCTTCAGGATTGATTCTTTGAGGACCTGCTCCATGATTTTTCCGGGGACTGAAGTGAGGCTTACTGGCCTGTAGTTCCCAGGATCCTCCTTCTTCCCTTTTTTAAAGATTGGCTATTACCAGCAGGACAGTGGGGTGGGAGGAGGTATTGTTTCATGATCTCTGTGTGTATATAATGTCTGCTGCAGTTTCCACGGTATGCATCCGATGAAGCTAGCTGTAGCTCACAAAAGCTCATGCTCAAATAAATTGGTTAGTCTCTAAGGTGCCACAAGTACTCCTTTTCTTTTTGCGAATACAGACTAACACGGCTGTTACTCTGAAACCTGGTAGGATTTGGGTGAACATATGCTTGAGGTTTGTCTAAATTGGAGATTTGCCTCCACAGCCACCAGTGTAGCCAAACCAGCGCAGACAGGTAACGTCACTACTTGAACCCATGGAACTTAATGTGGTTTGACTCAGTTCCATCGGTACAAACAGGAACTTTGCCCATCTGTACTACTGATTTGCACCGGTGCAGCCTCACAATGGCTGCTATGGAGGTAAATCCCCCAAGAGCTGGCTAACTTAGGGAGCTATCTTGGCTTGTACGTCACTGCTGCTCTCTACTAGGTGAAAATGGAACTGCAAAACCAGTTGTGGGGCAATCTGGGTGTGGGCGACTTAGTGGGGGAATCCAGGTGCAGGATCTGGCTGCACAGGGGCTTGTTGGATGCAACAGTAATGGGACTCTGCAGGGGGGTCCAGGTGAAGGTGGCTGGGGCTCGGGGGGGTGCGCGCGGGGGCGGGGGAAGAACTCGGAAGGGAGGTCTGGGTGTGGGGGGCTCAGTAGGGTGGGGATCCACGTGCAGCTGGTTGGGGCTTGGTAGGGTGGGGATCCGGGTGGCTCGTTGGAGTAGTCCAAGTGCAGGGGGAGTGGGGCTCATCAGTGGGGGTTATGGGTACAGCAGGAGAGTCTGGGTACAAGGGCATCTGGATGCGGGGGTTGGGCAGATGGAGGAGCAGCTCCCTACAGTGATCCCTCCCCCTGCAGTTGAGGAGCTGGAAGTGCAAGGGGTGGTGGGGAGTTTTCAGAGCTTCCTACAGCCAGGGGAGAAATCTGGGAGTGGGTCTGACATGGCCCTGGATGCTGTGCAGGGGAAGAGGAAGTCTCATCCTCCCCAGCCCAGCTGGGACTAGCAGCTGAGCCTGGCATAGGGTAAGAGCCACCAGCTGGGTCTTCCCCAGTCCCGCCCCTTGCCCTACAGTGATTTACCTCTCTGCCAGCTGCCCTGAGCACCCGAAACATACTGCTGGGGGAGAGGTTGCATAATCGCTCTTGTGGCTTCCCTTTGCTTCCCCATCAGAAAGCTATTTTTCTGAGGGGAAGCAAAGAAATCTGCAGGGGACAAATTCTGCACATGCACAGTGGCGCAGAATTCCCCCAGAAGTAATACATTTACTTTGTATAGGGTGTTGCTTTCTCTGTAAGTATAACAGGTAAAATTACAGCAACTTGTTTACACCATACTATAATTCTAGCAGAAGTTTTCAAAGGCATAAAAGGGAAGTGGGCAGCCATCTCTCCATGTAAGTTAGGTGCCCAGCACCTCACTGGGCACCTTTGGAAACTTCTCCCTTTGTGTCTTTGTAACTGCTATTTTCAACAAAACCCAAGTTTTGCATCTGCTTTTTTTATTAAAAAAAGATCAACCAGTTCCAGGGAGGGCATTGTCCCTTTCCAGAAGTCCACAAGACATGTTTTTTTTTAAAAAAAATCACCCACTTAAAAGTTACAGCTGCATAACAAACAATTTTACACTTTATTCCTGTAACTGCAGTAAACGGTTTTTGAAAACTAGGTTCAAAAGTTGCCATGGTTTATCCTGGAGCACGCTGTGCAACTGATAACAGGACCTAACTCTGTTGGAAAAACATTTGCCATTCAGAAGTTTTATAAATGCTTTCCAACACCCAACTTTTCTACAGTAAACCATCTGTCTTATCTATTTTAACATCACTTTTCTGAACTCTTGAAAACAAGCTCTTCATTTTTGAGAACTTTGGGCCAAATTCTGCCCTCTGTTACACACGCCTCCTCCCCGGCCCACTGATTTCATCACACAGATGTAATTCAGGGCAGAATTTGGCCCTTCCTCCCTCTTTTTAACGCAGCCTGTATCCCTCAGTAGAAGGTAGTAATTTACAGAGTGAAAAATCAGGTGTTGTCTCCCATGCTTTTGACAGAGATGTGGCCTGAGTTTCACAGGAATGCATGGAACTACTCCCCCACTTTCCCAAAGGAATATGCGCTTGTAAATGCCCGATGGACTGGACTTTGCTACTAGGAGAGTTCTATCACGCTAAGAACTCAGCCGTGGATCTTTCTTGAGCAGACTCGATTACACTGAAAATATCTGTACCAATGATATGATGTGACTTTTAAGGTCCAACAAATCTTTGCTTTGACTGGTGGGAGCTCTCATTCATTACATCTGCAGGACAAGGGTTATGCACAACACCATCCATTCAACATTTAAGGTTGTTAAAGTGGGTCTGACAGGAAAATTTCAGGCAGCAATCTAGGTGAAAGCAATCTAGGTAAACGGTAAACAGTCAAAGCAGAGGCGATTTCTCTGAGATTCAGGTATGTTGTGTGTGTGTGGGGGGGGGGGGGGGGGGGGTGGAGAAGAGGAGAAGGTAGCAAGAATGCCTGAGGTACATATTAGACGAATATCCAAAACCAAGCCAAGCACTTCCAGACAGATCGCTGACTGTTCGGCTTTCTTTACCCAAAGGCCTTCTATTATCTCATGGAGGAAGACAACAACACCTATTTGCTCAGAATAACTCTGCCTTAAGCTTAGTGATAAACATTATACAGAGCAAATTGAGGGCCAGATTCTGCTCCCACTGACGTAAGAACAAAACTACACTGATTTCAAAAGATGTGGGATCAGGCCTTCAGAACACATGAAACTACAGTGAGCAAACAGATTTTCCCATTCCATGGCCAAACTGAAAGAACTGGGAAACAAAAATATCAGTTAATTTCTAAGCAAAATTTAATTTCTCTGTTTTTTCTTGCTCAAATAAAAAACACTGAAAAAATGTTGTTTGGGTGAAACAGACATTTTGTTTCAGCAATGTCAACTGAAAATAAACCATTTTGACATTTCCACAATTTCTGTTTGCAGCTTTTTCAACTGAAACTATTCAAGTTTGACCCGAACTGGTAAATAATTGATGCCTCGAAAAATATATTTTTCAATGAATTTACTGTTCTCAGAAGACAATTCACTCAGCTCTACATGAAACATATGAAGATTGAAATTTTAATAGCTAAGATCTGCGAAGAAACACTAAATGTGGATCTCTGGATGTAGTAAATTGCCAAACATGAAATTACACCAAACACAATCACATGGTGTTAACTATACAGTAAGAACATTTATTTCAACATATAAGAGATCTCTCCTAAGCCAGATGATTTGATATAGAAATCAAAATGACCATACATTTTCTTCTCTTTGTCTACCTTGAACTCAAATTTATACAACATCAGAGTTTGCTTCTGAAACAAAATTACAAATTAAATCATAACAAAAGACACAAAATTTACTGGACCCTAAATTAAATTCTTTTAAAGAATTCTTCTCTCCTCCTGAGATCACCTGGAACTAAGTTCTTCCCCCTCGTCTTCCTCCTCATCTTTCCCATCCTTTTGCTTGGCCATGAATTTCTGCGGGGGAAAAGATTTTAAAACGTCTTACTTTGTAGCCAATGACAAGACACTGCAGTTAACACTTAATTCTCCACGGCAGGATATGCATCATGTTCTAAATACAATGCACATTTACATGTATTGAACAACCAGAAGCTGGCCAACTCCTGATATTGACTAGATTCTATCCTCACCGAAGTTTGCCAGTTAATTTTGCCTAGAGACTCATCTTCAGGTCTGCTGGTAAAATGCACTTATCAATGCTCCTCTTACTCTCCCAAAGCACACACCTGCACCATTGAGGAGATGGTATAAATGACTCCTAAATTAAATTTTCTGATGGTCAAATTAGTATCTTAAGTTACATGTGCAGCCATTTTAATCACAGTCTGGAGCCTTGATGACTCAGTAACATTTGGCAAGGCTAGGCTCTAAATATAGATATATGGAGATTTGCCAAAGATGGTAAGACAACTAATATCCCTCCCACACCTTCGTGGGAGGGGAAGATATCACAGATAGGATTTCCCAGCATTTAACTCAATGGTCAAGGTCATTAAGGGGTTAATAACTTCATTTCTTTAATTTGAAGTGTAGTACACTCTAGAAGTTATTTTTATTTGATCTACAGAACATAGCCATGAGTGTCAACGTATTGAAAAAAATAATATAATTTGCATCTATCTGCAATTTGTTTACAAACCATTCTTTTCACCTAGAACCTACGGTTTAGCAAAACCACTACCTGAGATAATTAGCAGTTGACAGAACAAAACAGATTTAAAAATCTCAGGTACTTTATTACTTACGGTTTAAAGGGAAAGAATCAAAAATTGTTACCTCCATATTCTGCTGATGACGCAGTGTCTTGCAATGATTTTTCATAGACATTTCACCTGCGTAGAAGAGCGAGCAGATCTGACAGAAGTAGCCAGCCTTTGGAACAAGAAAATCTAAACCTAAAAAAAAAAAAAAAAAAAAGGGGGGGGGGAGAAGGGGAATTTAACAATTCATAAACAACTCTCAATTAAAATCTACCAGGTACATTTAACCAAAATGTGCGCGTGTGGGGGTGGCGGTCTCTTTTAGTAAGGCCGGAAGGGATCACCAACTCTTCATTCGCATGCTAACCCCAACAACCAAATTAGTTATTTGGGTATTACAGCCCACAGAAGATTAAACCATTATGTGCCACAGGAACAAAATAGGAGGGACCGAGGTTCACTAGTTCCCAAGGCCCCTGAAATGGCGAGAAATTAAGCAAGATATATCCAGATAGTCCTAGCAAGTGACCTTCACTCCATGCTGCAAAGGAAGGTGAAAATCGGCATGGTCACTGCCAACCTGACCAAGGGAAAAAATTCCTTCCTGGCCCCACATATGTAGATCCTGAGCACATACAGCATGACCCATCCAGCTAAGCATGTGAAAGACAGAATGCTTGGTGCCACTGCAGAGCACCATCCTACCCATCCAGTGTCCCACCTCTGATGAATCCGAGGAAAGAGACCAAAGAAAACCCAGAATATGATGTGGTTTTAAGGGGGTAACCTTTCCTGACCCCCTGAAGCATGAACTTTAGGAACATAATAATTACAAATTATACCTTACATCTTAAGTGCCTTGTTAGTCTTTGCATCATTTAAATCATTTTATACATACTGTTCTCCCTAAACATAATATAATTCATTAAGTGAATTATGGAAGCATGCTCTAGATCAAGGACAATTTTATACAAGCATCGTGTCAGAATTCAAATTTCTTAATAAATTCCTTTGCCCTGTGCATGTACATGCTTCCCAAATCCAGTAATCCAACATGGCTACAATAACACCGTAAACAAAATTAAAAATTATGGCACCACAAAGATCAGTTTACATGGACATCTCAACTCCCAACATTCAAAAAGCCTTAAATCTTAGGATATGTCTATACTGCAATTAAAATCTCATATCTGTTCAATTTCAGGATAGACCCTCTGGCGTCCCCAAGCTCAGACTCTAGCCCAAGCCCAAACATCTACACTACAGTTAAACAGCCCCTTAGTCCAAGTCAGACACCCATGGCTGACATGTGCCAGCTAACTGCAATGTAGACATACCCTTAAGGAACAGAACATCCTAGCAAATCATTCACAGCAACTAGAAATAAACCTTGTACAATCTTTAATTGTCACAGGTGTAAGAAGTTATTTCATCCATCAGAAACATCAGATTATTCAGTGAATATATGCACACATTTTATTTATAAATATGCATAAACAATGCCCACAGTTCCTATAATTAAGATATTCGTTACTAAAATCAAGTTTTATTGGGATTTAGAACATTAAACAAAGATTTTAGATTTTACCTTTTGGAGTGCTTTGTGTCTTGGATTTATCTGCTGAGGAATCAACTTTTCTTCGTTTAGACTCTGGTTCTGTATCTCCTGATCCAAATTCATCTGTTAAAACCATAAAATAGAGTTTGAAGCAAAGACTTACACTAATTTAAAGGTATTTGGTACATAGCTTAAATATTTTTCATTAGTGTGGGAAGCAAACACCAGGTCTATGACCGTTACTGCTTCTTACACTGTTTGGCTTAGCCAAGCTAGAGAGTTCTTTTGTTTTTTTTTTAAATAGACACAGGGATGGTATCACCAGATGAACTTGAAATTCAACATTTGTGTTTTACTATGTCATTGCAAGTGCCTTGTTTCCAGCATGAAGCTCATTACAGACAAAAGAAGCACTACAACTGCCCTCAGTTTCTCCCTTGTAGAGACATCAGCTCAGAATTCATAGATTCCAGGGCCAGAAGGGACCACTGTGATCAAGTCTGACCTCCCTTATAACACATGCCATAGAATTTCCCTGAATTAATTCCTGCTTTAAGTCCAATATTTATCTGTGACTGAACTAGACTATCATTTAGGGAAAACAAACACTCCTGATTTAAAAATCCCTAGTGAGATACCTGGATAAGTTGTTCCAGTGATTAATTACTCTGACTGTTAAAAATTTGCACTTTATTTCTAGTCTGAATTTGTCTAGCTTTGACTTCCAGCCACTGGATCTTGTTATACCTTGGTCAACTAGATTGAAGTGCACTCTATTACCAAATTTCAGTTCCTGATATCAGTGCTTAAGACTGACTTCTGTATCCACATATAAATTAAAACATTAGAAGGACATGCAGATTGTCGTAACATTCTCAGTGCATTTCAGTTTACTGAAACACAAACTTATGTTATACAGGTATAATTGACTGATATGCTGCTCAATATTGAATTTTAAATACTGCACACATGTCAACTAGTTTCATTTGGACTGGAGAACACTGATTCCATAAAAAAAAAATTAAGGGTCTGTAGAAAGAGTTTCCTGGTTAACTTGGTCTAAGGTAATACCAAAATATTTGCTTCTGGAGACATGCAGATTGATAGGTTCCCCTAGAAAATGGGTGATTGCATTGTCATTATTAGCAGTAAACATTTATATATGATTTTACCCAAAGGCCCCAGTTAGAATTGAAGCATCATTGTGCTTACTAGTGTAGAAAACAGAAAAAAATCTTTGTGGGTGTCTGAGCTCCCAAACATTAAGGCACCCCAACATAAAGCTGCAGGACTTTGCAGCTTGAATTTGAGTAACAGTTGGAGGCTTTTGTAATCTTGTTTCTAGAATGCTCAAAATAGAGGATTCATATGCAGTCTCCCAATGGTTAACCATTTTAAAATGGGCTCCATAGGTAATGTGGCATGGCACACTATCTCATACTGTGAATCTGCAGAAGCACTGTCATGAATGAGAACAGAATCGAGGAACAACTTTCCAAAGGCTGGGTAGACTAGAGGGAGCACTAATAAGTACTGACTTTCCCTACCTACTCATTGCTTGAAACTTTCCATCCTAGCATGTTCTCCTAAAAATCTGTCTCTACTGTTAATCTATTCAACTTGACCTTTGGGCCAGAGACTAGGGGGAGGCAAATTGTACCTGGAATCCTGGAGGAGTGTGGGGCCTGTAGAGGGGAAGAAGCTGAGAAAAGTACACATCAATGCTTTAAGGGTTGTTCTTGAATTCTGGCTATAGGAATTCTATCATGTTGTGCAATATAGTATACACCTAAACCAAGCAAAAAAACCTGAAAGGGCAAAATTAAAAAAACAAAACAAAGCAGTTTCAAAATGTTCTGTTACAAAAACAGCTACAGCTTCCTTTTAGATTGAAAATGGATGAGACTCCAATGAAAAATTATGAACAAGATAACAAATCTCTACATCAGCCCTTACCTTTCACAGTTTTTTCAGAAGATTGTGAAGGCGTCTCACTGCAGACTTCCTGCTTTATATCTGCATCAAGCAGTAGACTTGCATTTAGATCAGGTAATACAGATTCTGTATCTGATTCTTTAACAGTTGCAGTCTGACTGTCTTCATTCAAACTATTTGATTCTGGGGTAGTCAAGGTACCTTTTCCCATTTTCTCCTTGCTGGACTCAGAAGTTGAGCCTTCCACTAATTCTGTTTTATCTGCTTCCTCCTCAGTGTTCTTGTCACACTTTTCTTGCTCTGTTTCAACAGGTGTCTCAGCTGGTGGAACAATTGGTCTTTTCCTAGGCCTACCTCTTTTGCCTGGGGTTTTCACTACATAAATACAGAACAAAGAATATTAACTCATTCACCATGTATCAAAAAGCATTTCTTCAGATTTATCAATACCATTAAAATTACCAGTGAAAAATTTAAGCATTTGGCAATTTAAAAAAAAAAAGCTTTTTATATGTGCAAGTAACTTTGGAAATGTGGTTCTCCCAGAGAATGATGAAAGGAAATAATTTTTCACCACCTGTTGCTGATATTACACAGTATGTTTTCATACAAATGAAAGTGTGAGATAAGTCTTTAATTTAGATTCATATAGAAAACAGTCTAAAAAAACAGAGTTTAGAAAACTCCGCTAATAGATCTGTGACATGTACAGACTTTTGGGACTGTTACAATTATTCCTTTTGGATTGGCCAAACCGGCACTAAAGTGATGCCTACTGATTAGCATAAGCTAAAGTTTAAGAAGTTCCCTGTTGTAATTAAGATTGTGGCCTCTGCAATTTTTCCCCATCTGCCTTGTTTATCTCTCATTCGTCTCCATTAGTAATATATGTCCAAAGGACTATCAATTGCACAGGGACTAAGTAGGATAACAGTTTAATCCATAAATCCTTCACTTCTGGACACGCATATTTATATCTTAACTTCAGGTCAGTAGTGGGGAAAATAATTAGAACAGGAGATGATGCGTATCAGAACTGAAATGTATCACTGATGCGAGGGAAAACTCAGCAATACTGGATTGACACTATGCATTAGCATTGGTGAGAGTCAAATTCTATAAAGCTCTCCCTGCTAAACTCTCACCCTTTTATACTTATTCTAATATATTTGACCTTAATTTGTCTGCAGTTGTAGATCACAAATGCTTCTGTCCATTTCTGGCTCTACTTCCTACCTGGAGGCTGCTGCTTGTTCTTAGTTTGTCTCCCCATTTCATTTGATTCATGCGCTTTGCTCAGGCTTAGCTCTGTAATTAAAGATTATATTTAACTTCTACGCTTTTATTTAGGTAGTTTGTTTCTTCTCTTCATTGATACAATATCCAGTTATCTGCCCTGACAGATACTGGCTAATATTAAATGACACTAGCATAGTTTTAAATGTCTTTATGTTAATTATATATTTTAAAATGCATCTATAAAACTGTATCAGTTCCTACCTGCAGACTGCTGCTCACTCTCAGTTTCTCCTTTGATCTCTTTTTCACTTGTCTTGTTCCAAATTTCAGCTTTTTCAGTCTTCTCTGTATTTGCTACAAGTGCCTCCTTGTCTGCCTCCTGTGTACCTGCTACAAGGGTCTCATTTTCTATTTCCTTTGTGTCAGCTTCAAGAGTCTCCTTTTCTTCTGACTTTGAGTTTGCAATAGCAGCCTCCTCTTCTGGCCCTATATCTGCCAGAATTTCCATTTCTTCTGGTCCTGCAATTGCAACAATATCCTCCTCCTCCAGGTTTGTGCCTATAAAAGTATTTTCTTCTTCCTCTTCATCCTCCTCCCCAACTTCATCTACAGTAACGAAGTTTAGTTCTTCTTTTAAACGGTTGAAATCTGCCAAAAAGTCTTCGTCATCTTCAGTAACTTCATCTAAAGTTACTAGAGGCTGATCATCACCGTCTTCCTGTATTTCATCTACTGTCACTAAAGTACTAGGATCTTCAGGCAGCTGAGAAGAGATAAAGTCACCAGGATCCTCAGTAGCCCGTTTATCATCCTCTTCCTTAGGTTTTAAGGTCTCCTCAATATTCAAATCTGAAGGCTCATTTAGAGGGAGCTCTTCAACTTCTCCTATTTCATCCACAGTTACCAAGGGTTCTGCTTTTAGAAGATCTTGCTCCTCATAAACTGAACTGGAGACATCTTTAGGTACATCATGTGAAAAGTCTTCCTGTTCAGATATCTCATCTAAAGTAACAAGTGATTGTGGGTCTTTCACTGCTTCTGAAATCAGCTCCTCTTCTTCATTTACTTCATCCACAGTAACTAGACCCTGTGGGTCTGTTATTGCTTCTAAATTGGAGTCTCCTACCAATTGTGCAGTCATCTCCTCCTCTTCTCCAATCTCATCCAAAGTGACAAAGGATAATTCGCTCTCAGCAACATGTGCTATGGAGTTTTTACCTTTCTTCCTCTTAGCAATAGGCTCAGAGGAAGAGTTATTTTTAGCAGAATCTTTTCTTTTCCCCCGGGGTGGATTTCGCCTGGTTTGAAGAGGAAAGTCTGTCTCTTCTACAACCTCATCCACAGTAACAAACTCATCCAAGTTAAATGGGAAAAGCTCTTCTTCCTGTGAAATGTAAAACTTAATTTAGTAGGCAAAGTGCACCAATACTATAATGTTCGTCATCCACATTTTTAGACAGAACCTGAAACTGCAATTTTTCAGGTGAATTCAGTGGTTGTGAAAGGCATCTGCAGTTTGAAGCTGACAGTGAAATTTTGAAGTTCAATAGCTAAATGATGTATCATACACGAAAATGGAAAAACCCCACTGAAATCAAAGACATTTTATTTTGTGTATGTAGCACAAAACATTAATTATGTGAATGGATGCATATCAAAAGGAACATATACACAAGAAACTCATGGAAAGAAAAGTAATTTGCTGAGTTTATGGGCTCAGTTGCAAGTTTATTCAGTATTGACATTTCTACTCTGAAGATGAGCCAAAGGAATGTAGATACTTGAGAATTTTCCAAAATCATACCTGGGTAGACTTGATTTTTTTTAAAATGGACCACAATGCCAGTGTATATTTTAAATGTTTTTCTGAATTTGCAAGAATTCAACTGTAGCCTTAACTCTTCAAACAATGTCAGCACTTGGGGGGTGGAGACGATATTTGATGTAACAGATAAGACAGGCTTCAAACTGTCCACTCTTTAAAGTCTTTTCTCTTCCCTTCAGACATTTCACCTTACATATCCCCTTTTCTCTTTCCTTCCAACCTTTTATTCTCTGGTTTTGACATCTAAAGTGTGGTACATTCACTACGGCTCCAACATACATACTGACAGAACTGGTGAGGAGAATCTCTCTCGACCTTCTTTCCTTTAACCTCCTCTCTCTTCCTCCTCAACCCTTTCTCCCACCAATATCCACAGCCATTCCTTGTTGTGGATAACCCTTTTCAGAGGAGACATGGGAGGTTTCGGTTTTGTGAGGGCCTTGACTGAGTGGAAAAAGGAGGAGGTTGTGACTTAATGGCACATGCAGCGGTGAGAAGGCAAAGAAGGATATTGGGTGTTGGCTTTCACTAACTTGTTTACAAAACTGAATTATTTTCGACTGATTTTAAAAAGATGTAAATAGATGGTGAACATTTTGGTGCTAATTTAGAATTTTGTTTGCTCCAAAATGGTTAAGCCATTTTCACAGGAGTAGGAAACTAAAAACTGTCTATTTGGGATTCAAGTCTGTTTTGATTCATAACTTGTTTTTTCTCTCCAGTCTGATAGGTGGGAGAGAGTCCTTCTGAAGGCACTTTATAAGTAATAAGATGAAAATCAAGGAGGCAGCAGAAATTAACTCGACAGTGTGATGTAAGTTAAAAAAAATCCAGCCTCCTGGCTCCAAATTTGGAATCAAATTTGTTGTATAAGTAATCAATGAATTTGTCAAAACCTCCATCATGCCAACGTATACACTTCTGCACTTGCACATGGAGAGATGAAAAACTTGTTCCTATAACAGTTTAGGCCCAAAGCAATTTGACTCCCTCTTTCCTATCAAATACCATAGCTATATAAAAAGGGACTGTACCCTTATTCCTCATTTTTTGGTAGTCCTGGCAAAAATCAAATTGCCAGCACAACAAACTGATCGACGTGCAATGTCACGTGTCATTTTAAGAAAGGAAACAGAATACAGCCAAGTTTTTTTTTAAATGACTTCTTTCAAACTCAAAAATGAAATTATTGTAGGTCGTCTTCTCAAATTTTGCAGGCAATAAGCACTAAAAACAGTGTCTCTCTACCAATCAGAAAGCAAAAGAGTACACGAAGATTACCGTGTAAATCAGATGGAATATATAGCCAAGACTGGAGGGGAAGGAGAGAGTGGCTGGCTACACATCTCTAACTAAAGCAAGTCTTTTGCCTTCTTTTTTTCCCTGCAGGCGGAGAAATGCTCTGTGTCAAGTTGTAGAACGGTGAAAAATAAAGCTACACATCAATCCTGGATTGGTAACTGACTTTCCACATCTACTGTGCCTTTTTCAATTTGCAGCATCTGTACCAATCTCAGTGATTATTTTAGTACAGCTCTGGAAATAATGTCAGTCAACATCTACTTTATGGAGAGAAAAGGAAGCACGTAATATTGAAAAACTGACTTTTCTCCCCTCTTCTCCCTTCCTGCCAACAACAAACAACATGAAACAGAGGGAGAGTCAAACTGAGGCTTCTTCAACTCAGCTATCTGTAAAAACTATAAAAACTTAATACCTACCAATCCCTTATTTCAGCAAATGGCATATCAGGAATGTAAGTATTGTTTCTCTCTAGCATAAAGCACAAAAATGATTTGTTTATGGGAGAGGCACTGTTATTGTGATTGGTTTTGATCCCTCCCATTACACCAGTTATTTGAGAGAGGACCTGGGAAGATTGTCTCTGTCATTCTTATCCCATGCCTCATCACGGCACTTGTAAGGAAGAGCTCTAAGATACGCAAACTTGAGATCTAATAGTCAGACAGGCTCCTTTTTGAAGCAGGCAAAATTTGGGACCTAAAAATTACCCCGTCAAAGAAAGTTAAGCTTTTTATATTCCTGAAACAGGAAACTCAGGCTCTTTTCCCAAGATGAACATAATTTACAGACAACTAATAAAAAGTTGTAACGAACAGTATCCTGAAAAATCCACTGAGCAAGAGCTCGCAAGAAATAAAGCTAAACTTATTTTGTTCTCAAAGAAAATCGCTACTGTAAGTTCAACTACGTTTGGTTCCTTACCTCTTTTGGTTTTACGTTGCCACCAGAGCCAGTTTTAGTATTCCTACTAATTCGACCAGTAGGAACCTGCAAAATTAGACAAAAATTTAAATGAAACAAGTTAGCCAATCAATCATCTCGTCAAAAACAACTTCTTCTCTTAAGGAAGTTCTTTTTAAACAATCCAGATAGAGTCATTTGATTGCATGCTTGGCATGTACAGAACTAAGCCAACCACCAATTATAAGTCCAGGCATATAGTCTCTAGTACCAAGTCACCGGTAACGTCTTGTTTAGTTATCTGTTCACCTTTCAGCAACCAGTGCCTGTGCAGGATAATCTAGGACTTGACAAAGGAAGCATCAGCTCACAAAAGGAGAGAAAACTTCTTTCCCATTCAGAACTATACCAAGAACATAAAGTTATGACACTCAGTACAGACCTGCTTACAGAAGTTACCTTCCTGCAATTTTATCCAAGTATCATTTTCAAACCAGTTACATACTTGAATTGTACACAACTGGTTGCTTGCCATCCTACTACTCCAACTTGACTGTTGGCCCAAATCAGTTCAACAGGTTACAGAAAGGGGAAGGGGAACATAATCTTACTGTCTCATATTCAACATCTGGGAGAAGCATCAGAGTTAGTTACTGGTCAGTCACATTGAACCAGCCTTCTTGCCCTTCTCACCTTATTGCCGTTGTCGTCTTTCTTCATGCTGGATGATCTACTCTCTCTCTCTTGAGACTGCTTTGAACTACCCCTAGAGTCCACTCTTGAGTCCTTGTCTTGCTGAGATGAACTCCTCCCACTGCCTCCCTTTACAACAACAGGACTTATGTCCAGTTTAGACTTGGTGATGCTATCTGGCAGACTTGATCTGCTGCCAATAGCTCTTGGCTGACCCACTTCTTTTGATGAAAGTTTCTTCTCAGTAGCAGATCTGCTTCTGGTCTCAGGTTTTGAGGAAGCTTTCTGCTCCTCTGTTCTAGTCAGAGAAGTCTCATTTCTCCGCATCATAACTCTTGACTTTGATATATCAGGGATAGACACCACAGCCTTTAAGATTGTTTTACTAACAGAGGTAGGTTCCTTGATGGATACAAATGCGGCAGCAGACGTACTTGCTTTGCTGGTTTCATCTATTTTAACTTGTCCTGGTCCTTTATTTTGATGTGCCTTGATTAAAGTTCTCTCATTCTTTTCATTCAGCACTTTTTCTTCAGTGTTCTCTATGTCTGTCCCAACACTGGCCAGAGGCTTTTCGGGTTTCTTCTCTACATCTGTCCCAACGTTGGCCACTGGCTTTTCTGGTTTCTTCTCTGTATCTGTCCCAATGCTGGCTACAGGGTTCTCCAGTTTCTTCTCCATAGCTGCCCCAATCTTAGCCGCTGACTTTTCCAGTTTCTTCTCCAAGGCTGGCCCGACTTTGGCCACTAGCTTTTCTGGTTTCTTCTCTATAGACACCACAACATTGACCACAGGTATTTCAAGTTTAGTTTCCACTGCATCAGTAACAGCATTTTTTACAGGAGTATCCAATGTGTTGCTTGATTGTATGTCTTCAGCTGACAGCATTTCCACTGAAGCCGCAGCAGAATCAGGTGGCACTGCTTCAGAAACAGCCTCAGCTGTTTCCATGGTTGTTGGTTTCACAGCAGAGTCTGACTGCCCATCTTCTAGCTTGCCCACACTGGATAACTCTTCTGATGATCCACTGACAGGAACAGGCAATTCTTCAGGTTTCACTTTAGTTTCTCCTTCTGTTACAGTTGTGATAGCAGATTCCAATAATTCTGTTTCAGAGTTATCTTTAACTACCTCTTCCTTCTGAAGACTGAAAGGAGGCAGCAGGATCTCTTCTGATTTAACTTTGGATAATTCATCATCAGCTGGTTTGGTAGCTGAGCCAGTAACTGCAACTTCAGATTCCCCCTTGGATGTTTCAACTTCCGATGGCTTTGTAGCAGAATCACGTACCGTTCTTTCAGGCTCCAACTCAGAGGCTTCTATCTGCACTGTCGAAGTCTCGGCTTTGACAGAGTTGGAAATGATTTCTTCCTTTGCCACACTAGGCTCTACTGGAGGATTAGCAGCTGCTGTTTGCACCACTCCTGATCCCTCTGGGTTTTTTTTCAAGTCAGAGCTAAATGTATTTAAAAAAAACAAAAGAAATCAAACTATGTTGAGAATTCCACAGTTATCAGTAACCTCTTGACGCCAATGGTTGGGATTTCCTGATGCATTAGTGGCTTAGCATTGGGAAATCTAGCCTATCAGCGTTAAAATGGTTAGAATATTGAGGCAAATAACTGATTAGTTTACAATTTTTGTCTAATCCACTTCAGTACTGAAGACCTCTAATAATTCAAATTACATTACTTACTTGTAGTTAGATTTCTCTGAAGGTACTATACGCTATAGATGTGTCCTGTGACCTCAGAGCTGACAAGCAAGCTTAAATTTGGATTCCCTGATGTGGGACAGACTGTGTACACACACACACACATAAAATGTAACTCAGTTTTTCTATATAAACTTAGTCTAAAACTATGGTAAATTGCTCAGCTCTCCAAGAGCGATGTTTGACGATAATATCCTCTACAGTAACTACCCTACTGAACTCCTCATATATGTTACAAGTTTAATAAGCACTTTCCTTTTCAACTGAAATTATCTTGGTTATAATTGTGGAAAAGGCCATGCGCAGACGAGGCCTATTTTCTGCAATGCTATACTTTGCTGTTTAAGCTTACTGTCAGCTCCCAAGATAATAAAGCCCAGGATGACAAAGAAACAGGATAGCACTTTTCAGAGAACTTCAGTTACAGGCAAGTACATTATTTTTCTCTGAAGAAAACATTGTCTATAGACATTCTTGGGAAACTTTGAAGCTGGAGATGTCTAAACCTCCTTTTTCGTGTCTCCTGAAAGTGGCCATCCTAAGATTACATAAAACTAGATGAAAAGATGCCAATACATCAATCAATTCTGATGTTCTAGTTAGGTGATAAAACATTATGTAGACGATCAGTCGAGGGGATAAACAGAAAACTGGTTAATAAGTGGATATGCACCAAGATGTGGATCTTTATTATGGTCTCTCAGATCCAAAGTACATAAAAAAAATATATGCACAACTATATGAATCTTCATGAAGGGCTGCCATTTGGTTAATACTTCTGGCATGCTGACATCAAGAAAGTCCAAAGCTGACGCAAACGGAATCAATCACCGAAGGCCCAACTTTGATGTGGTAAGATATACAAGTGTTAAAGACTACATTAAGTCAGAACAATTAAAGCAGCCAAAAAGCAACAAGGAGTAAATCTCCATCACCTAAGCACAACAAGATGCACACTTCAATGTGCCCTGAAAGCTCACCTCGCACCTAGCGCCATCATCTTCGTCTGCCACATATACTGAAGAGAAATAGGAAGAGTGGGGCTAGTTCTGTTTCAGAAGTATCACTATAGATTGAGCACAGTTGTAACCTATGTTACTATTATGCATCAGAGAATCAGACGAAAACTTGCAGGAAAATGTAGTCGAGCGGCTTCCATCTGCGATAGGTGATCTACTGCAGTCCTCCCCCTAAAAGGTGGCAGGCTCACAGCATTCCAAAGTACAGCAGAAAAAAATCTCTCGGAGTAATGGATCCTGTGTGTTTCTGAACAGCTCCTGCACGGAATTTTGGGAGTTTCCTCCCAGGCCTCATTGTTTACTTCATGGTAATTGGAGATCTCATAAAAGAGTTAGAAATATTTTCTCACTTGCCCATTCAAATAAAATTTTCTCCTTCCAAAAATTTGCTTGGAGTTGAGTCATTTCGAGTCAGTCATGTCCAAACACCAGTGGCTGGGGTGAAAGTGTTTCAATTAGTTTTTGACCAAACAAAACTAATCTGTTTCTCGTGGCACAAATATTAAACACACAGATCAGTTGTGACAACGAAGATACTTTGGTATTTAACAACCTTAGAAAGGCAGGTCTCTGAATACCAAAGACTCTATTATGTTCCAAAAGTGAGATTCATTTAAAATATATTTCCCTTCTATTTGGGCATACAATAGCCCCCCGCGACATTTGCCTAGTTTTTGTATGTAGTAAAACTCATCTGGACAACTTGATGCAGTGCATAGGCAAAAGAGGCAGTCCTGAAAGACCAGCTCTATTTAAGAAGCATAGAGATTTTGATCAAAGATAAGCTACGTCCCCCCTGCCAAACTGCACACAGCTCAGCATCTGCAAAGGGGGAGAATCTGTCCATAAGCTTCTACTAGGAATGGAAAAAACAGCAAGTTTATTAAATAGCAGCAAATAATGCAAGACCATACATTACTTGCATCTTCAACTGCTTATAGCGAATGCTGTAAGTGCACACACATACATCTTCTATATAAATCAACTGAGATCAGTCTGTGGATCTTCAGGACTGTGTGACTTCTCTCAGAGACAAAAGTACCTTGGTGGTCTCCAAAAAACATTAATCTGACAGATTCAAACTGGACTTTCATAGCCCGGGCTGATGCACAGTTCTGCTTCCTTGCCCAGAATGTAAGGTCAATGATGAGAGAGTGAGGCAAAAATATCAAGTTGGTTGAAAATAATGGGTGCAAGGACTTGAAAGCCCTGCTACGCTATGGGAAGGAAGTGGCATATTGCACTACCAGAAGGATATTTCCCATTGCATAAAAAGGGTAAAACCCACAAATACCTGATGCTCCAGTCTTGCATCTTCAGTCATTTGTGTCAACACCTAACATCACTCAGAGCTGCCCATCGGAGTTAACAATGGAGGTCAAATAAAGGGTGAGCTCCAGCAACCCAAAAAAGAGCAGGCATGTGCCATAAAGGATGCAAGATAGAGGCAAATCCTTAATTCTCCATTTTAAACTCAGATTAAGAAAGAGATTGCAGGCTGGTCTTCAATTCTTCTGGAATCTTAATCTGGAACAGGAAAATTCTTGACTACATTTGCTGAAAGAAACCACCTCCTTCATTATTAGAAACAGTTGGGATATCCATGCCAGTGGTCTACCACCCCAGCCAGAAGGTCAAGTAAATGGCCTTAGGCCATTTCTTCATGCTGGGTAATGATCAAATGTCAAGAAACATTCCAAGATTTCTTTAAGATTATCTTGACCATCCATAGGAATCAAGAATACTGTTCCCCCTTCTCTCCTCAAATTATCCTATCCCATTCCTCTCCACAGAAAAATTCCAGGGGGGAAGCGTGACAAAACAGCACTCATCCCATATTATGGGACTTACTTTTTTGCTTCTTATATGGTGATTATATCTCAAAAGGATAACAGGCCTTACAAAGAAAGGCTTACAAAGCTGAATGTAAGGATCATTCCGACATGGAGACAACTGCCTCATAGGCTGAAAGGGAATCTGTACAGGGTGAAGTTGGTAAGCAAAAACTTTATTTTGTCCATTTGTTCACCAGCCACAGTACTACTTTGCGCAGTATCTGGGACTCATAAAGATAAGATTAATTTGTATTGTGCCATATTGGTAGGTCAGCTGCTACCTAGAACCCATCGATCTGGAATCAGTAAGGTTACCTGAACATCTATATTGGTGCGACTCAGAACCACTAGTTCAAAAGCAGTTCCCCTATGCTTCCAACTTCCAATGTGCTCTGAACACCACTCATAAGTTTAAGAATGTCTTAATACACTTTTGTTTTACATTCATAGCTTGACATTATTTTCAAAACCAGCACGTAGACCATGAGAGAATCATCAGGAGCACAGAGAAGGAAGAAACCATGCTTTGAAAATATTACACCATTAGCAGCTGTGTGATATTACATATAACGTCTTATAAAATGTTACTATACTATAGAATAATAGTGCATAACACTATAGGTAATATTACCTTAAATGGTAATTTTTGGACCATTACTAAAGAGCACTATAGATTAAATCTCTCTCTCTCTCACACACACACGTACATACATGGATCTGAGTTACAGAAAACATTTTAAGGACAATTATCCTTTTCCCACCTACAGGAAGTACTTTGTATGATCTACTGTCATTTGAGATAAAAAGTATTTGCAAAACATTGTGTTTTATATTCTAGAACCAATGAATAGTTACTCCATAATTAGATATTTTACTATCATTCAGGCATACAAGGTGCATTTAAAAAAATTTCCACTGAGTATTACAAAATAATAATTTCTCTTTTCTGGATTCTGATGTTAAAGTTAAGTATCTAAACTAGTTTTCCATTATCTAGTTAGTGGCCTATATCCGTTAGACAGAAGTATAAAGTAAATTTAGAAAACTGAACCACCTCCTCTAATTTGTTTTAGCATTTGAAAACAAACAATAGATGTTGTGGCTTGATAAATGACAGCACTGAAAGATGAAATATAGGAATCACCTACTGACCAAGTACAACGAGAGCTTTTTCAGCAACATAGTCTTCCACCAAAACTTAAACACATGGGTGAAATCCTGGACCAGTTGAAATAAATGACAAAACCATTTACTTTAACAGGGCCAGGATTTCACCATTTCTCCACACTCATTCAGACCCCAGACTCTCAAGCAAACACATATTTTACAAAAAACTCTATGCAAGTTAAGAAAGTAAAGGTCTTTGATACACAGGACAAAGAACTAAAAAAAAAAAAGGAAGTGGCAGTAGGTAACTGTTAGCACATCTCTAAATAATCCAACTGCAGTTTTTTCCCATTATACATAGCTTGCTTTTGAGAGAAATGTGTAGTAGACTACTTAATTCATCAATCATGGAGGGCCACTTTTTGAACAGTGCATACAGAAATTAACAAATATTTGAAAGGCATACCTTCCTTTACTTGGTTCTTGGTTTTTCAGCTCTTTTTTCATAACTTCAGCCTATAACATAAAATCACCAAGTGTTGAACATCTATGAAATTCAGAAATAACAGCACAAAAAAGTATATATGCCCAATACATCCAGTTAAAAGCACCACAGAGCCCATTCATAACTACACCCGGAAGATCAAATGACAGTGAATAATGTAAGTCATTCTAAAAGGTCTTATTACAAAGGTCTTATTACAGTTTGTAAGATGTGTTTTAGCCTGATGTCTTGTGGCTCTTTATAGCTGTGATGACTTTAAAATGATTTAGCATTTAGTTTCTGTGATGTTTGGAGGTGGGGGGGAGAGAGAGGGGGTTAAACGTATTTCCCCTGTTCAAGCAGCACCCTCTTTCTGCTCCTTCGTATCCTCATCAATGTAACAGATGTAGTGCCCTGATACAACTATGATTTGTCTGTCAGAGACAGATATACAGAGGACATAAGTTATCTTTAAAGAAGATATTCTAATGTATGTTCCAAATACAACAAATATCACAGCTGTACTAAGCTAAAGGTTTGACTCTGCCCTCCAAAATGTGCTGATGTGACATCTGTTTCTTAGAGGATAATCAAGCCATTTTGTTTTTAAAATAATTAAACTCACTTTTTAAAATTTAAGGACTATGTCCTCTGAAAAACAAAGCACTACCAATCCAAACTCTCCAGCTGCTATGATGGAGAGTAAAGTTCCAACAACCTTTTAAGCAATAACAGGGACTTTGAAAGTGGTAGTGGTAGGCTTTGGCTCAAAGTGGAAATTCAGTGTTTAGAACTATATTATACTAAAATAAAGAACATCACCTTTACAAAGAATTGCAGGTATACTCTAATGACAAAAACTGATTTGGAACCCATTTTCAGATCATATGATTTCAGTATTATCACTTCTCTCCCATCCATCCAACACCAGATTTTAGTAATAAAAGAATACGGAAAGCCAGTTTGCACACTTTGTAACTGGAGTGTGCTTGGAAATAGGAAAAAATATAGCTTAACTGATTGTTAGTTTCTCAAAATAAATTAAAAGGTAATGGGAGGCTTTTTAGAGAAAAGAATGCATATGGGGAAATAGAGCTGGCGCTCTTGGGCTCTACAGAATGTGGATAGCAGGATGTTTCAGCATTGTAAAACTCAAAGAAGGGTGAATGCACACTGAGAGGTTGCTGTGATCCGAAGCAGCAAGGAACAAAGGGGGACTCATCCTCTCCCTGCTCAGGTGACCCACTACGGGCACTTCCCTCTCCTACCCAGCTACGCATAAAAGAACTCCGAAGCACTGGAAACTACACCTATAAAGTACAGTTTTCTGACTGTGGAGTGAAAATTGTTAGGGCCCTATTCACATAGATTACAACAGTGCTAGAATAAAGCATGTTTAAAGGACAATCTCAGCTCTAATTTAGAACCGAACAATGTGCGTGTTGTAAAAAAAATGCTTTTACAACACCTAATAGAAATATTTCCATATGTTTTAAAAATATCAATAGACATTTAATAAAAATAGATTATGCTCCCTTGCATTGCAAGCAATGTGGCATTGGGCTAGTACATGAGAACACAAAAGTAAACTGATTTTCCGTTTTAAGATGACAAACAAGATGTAAACGAGTAAAAAGTTAAAATGTTAAGACTTTCAGCTTTAATAACTTTAGGTGTTACTAGTAACATAGGTAAGGAATTTTTTTTTTTATATCAAATGGGTTTTTACATGAATGTTCATTTAAGCATGGTTACTGCTAACAATGTTGATATACGCTGCTTTCATGAGGCTAGAGGGTGTAGTAACAGTATTATTCTATGTCCACACCTATATGCCATCTTCAGATGTATGGACTGCACACATATAGGTGTGTTTACATTAGACAAGTTAGTATTCATACCACAACAGCCACCAAATCATAGAATCATAGAATATCAGGGTTGGAAGGGACCCCAGAAGGTCATCTAGTCCAACCCCCTGCTCAAAGCAGAGTTGAATGCTCAATCTAAATGGTGAAACACCATCAGCCACTTACACAGGCATGTTTCAGAGTGGTAGCTGCGTCAGACTGTACCAGCAGAAAGAACTAGGAGTACTTGTAGCACCTTAGAGACTAAAATTTATTTGAGCATAAGCTTTTATGGGCTAGAGCCCACTTCATCAGATGCATGCAGTGGAAAAAATACAGTAGGAAGAGATATATACACATACATATACAGAGAACATGAAAAAATGGGGGCTGCCATACCAACTCTTAACGAGACCAATCGATTAAGGTGGGCTATGTCAGCAGGAGAAAAAAAAAACTTCTGCAGTGATAATCAGGATGGCCCATTTCAAACAGTTGACAAGAAGGTGTGAGTACCAGTAGGGGGAAAATTAGCCTGGGGAAATAGTTTTTAGTTAGTGTAATGACTCATCCACTCCCAGTCTTTATTCAAGCCTAATTTAGTGTCCAGTTTGCAGATTAATTCCAGTTCTGCTGTTTCTCATTGGAGTCTGTTTTTGAAGTTTTTTTGTTGAATAATTGTGACTTTTAGGTCTCTGAGTGTCCAGGAAGCTTAAAGTGTTCTCCGACTGGTTTTTGAATGTTATGATTCCTGATGTCAGATTTGTGTCCATTTATTCTTTTGCGTAGAGACTGTCCGGTTTGGCCAGTGTACATGGCAGAAGGGCATTGCTGGCACATGATGGCATATATCACATTGGCAGATGTGCAGATGAACGAGCCTCTGATACTGTGGCTGATGTGATTAGGTCCAATGATGGTGTCCCTTGAATAGATACATGGAAAGAGTTGGCAACGGGCTTTGTTGCAAGGATAGGTTCCTGGGTTAGTGTTTTTGTTGTGTGGTTGCTTGTGAGTATTTGCTTTAGGTTTGGGGGCTGTCTGTAAGCGAGGACTAGCCTGTCTCCCAAAATCTGTGAGAGTGAGGGATCGTCCTTCAGGATAGGTTGTAGATCCTTGATGCACTGGGGAGGTTTTAGTTGGGGGCTGAAGGTGACTGCTAGTGGTGTTCTGTTACTTTCTTTGTTGGGCCTGTCCTAAAGCAGGTGACTTCTGGGTACTCTTCTGGCTCTGTCAATCTGTTTCTTCACTTCAGCAGGTGGGTATTGTAGTTATAAGAATGCTTGATAGAAATCTTGTAGGTGTTTGTCTCTGTCTGAGGGGTTGGAACAAATGCGGTTGTATCTTAGAGCTTGGCTGTAGACAATGGATCGTGTGGTGTGGTCTGGGTGAAAGCTGGAGGCATGTAGGAAAGTACAGCCATCAGTAGGTTTCCGGTATAGGGTGGTGTTTATGTGACCATCGCTTATTAGCACTGTAGTGTCCAGGAAGTGGATCTCTCGTGTGGACTGGTCCAGGCGGAGGTTGACTGTGGGATGGAAATTGTTGAGATCATGGTGGAATTCCTCAAGGGCTTCTTTTCCATGGGTCCAGATGATAAAGATGTCATCAATGTAGCGTAAGTAGAGTAGAGGCATTGAGGACGAGAGCTGAGGAAGCATTGCTCTAAGTCAGCCATAAAAATGTTGGCATATTGTGGGGCCATGCTGGTACCCATAGCAGTGCCGCTGACTTGGTATACATTGTCCCCAAATGTGAAATAGCTGCCGGTGAGGACAAAGTCACAAAGTGTAGCCACCAGGTTTGCCGTGACATTATCAGAGATACTGTTCCTGACAGCTTGTAGTCCATCTTTGTGTGAAATGTTGGTGTAGAGGGCTTCTACATCCATAGTGGCCAGGATGGTATTATCAGGAAGATCACCAATGGATTGTAGTTTCCTTAGGAAGTCAGTGGTGTCTCGAAGATAGCTGGGAGTGCTGGCAGCATAGTGCCTGAGGAGAGAATCTACATAGCCAGACAATCCTGCTGTCAGGGTGCCAATGCCTGAAATGATGGGGCATCCAGGATTTCCAGGTTTATGGATCTTGGGAAGCAGATAGAATACCCCTGGTCGGGGTTCTAGGGGTGTGTCCGTGCAGATTTGTTCTTGTGCTTTATGATCAAATAAATTGGTTAGTCTCTAAGGTGCCACAAGTACTCCTCATTCTTTTTACCTAGGCATGGCTCAAGACATTTTTACCACTGTGTCAAACATATAGGCTTTGGGTTTTCACTACCGTCAAGACCACCTGCAGATTTTCATAACAGTGGTAAAAACGCCTGAGCCCTATGTACCCTACTGCTTGTATGCTCATGTTGCCATGTTGTTGGAGACTGTTGCTGCTATATGGACACTAGTTTTTCCATTGTATCATTCAAAGCACAGATGAGGGGAAAAAAATACTGCTTTGAAAGCACAGAGTGCTGAAAGCTGCTCTTTGTTTGCACTAGCTCTAATTTGGTTAAACATGTATTGTAACAAAGCCATGTTATTTGTTGCTAAACAAGATACGGGCAATGGTTACAGAAAGCACATTTGCATCTTACAATGCATCTTTGAAAGACATTCCCTTCACATCATTTGTCAAATGTACATGCTAAGTCAGTATTTATTTTTTTATTGCTAATTGTGAGTTTATTTCTAGCATTTATACACTGCTTAACATTTTCTAAAGTGCTGTGAAGTCTGTTACATAAAAATGAAATACTATATAACACTCTTAAGAAAAGGTGCAAACTCAGTGCCCCTTTCCATTACAACAGAATTGGTATCATATAGAATACAGATGGAAGATACTTCCAGTGCCATCTAATCCAGCCCCCAAATCAAGCAGGAGATACTATATATGGAAATTATTTACCTCTCATAACTGGAGTTCTTTGAGATGTGCAGTCCCTATCTGTAGTCCACTATGGGTACAGATGCACTCCATGCACCCTGAGAAAATTCTCACAGGTAGTGTCCCTTGAATCTATACTGTGCCCTGGCTCTCCTCGTGCTCTGTACTAAGGGTATAAGTGGCGGTGGAGACAGAGACCTCTCCAGTTCTTCTAGTCTTACTAGGAATCAGAGATTATCTGAAGCTGAGGGGAAGGAGGGCAGACAATGGAATCACTCCAATTATAAAGAGGTAACTAAT